CCCCCCCCCCCCCCGCATCTAATCACTTTTCTAATGGTCCTTCCCTCACGGATATAGGCTACATTCCCGGCCGAAATTACAAAGAAATGTCTGGAAACAACTCCCGCTATAAAGTATTCTCGCTATTACGGAATTGCGAACGCTTCAGGTGTCCCAAACTAAGATATTTATGACCTTTTATTAGTTCTTCTCCCATTACAACGGACAACCTGGACATGTTGAATGGCATAATTATTCTGCAGTCTCGGAATGTTTACTAGTTTGTGGATTACTTTGACTTATATTATAGGATTATTAACCATGGGAAATGTGTACTACAAATTAAACGAAACTGGAAAAGTGAAAAGAGTTTAGCAGTAGGTGACCCTTCATAACCAAAAGTGTTACCATTTTCATTACACCCCGCTATTGCGGACTCACGCTATTTAGGCCTACTGTATTTTGCGAAACGAGCTGYTCTCAGGCGGATAGCCTGCGAACGCAGACGTATCTCCGGCTGTCACTTGATTCCGCCGAAAAATAACGTCTGCGAACCCGAGCCAGGAAATGATTTCTGTGACGTAATGACTTTTGTTTCTCCTTGGCCAATCAGATTCCATGATAGAATGAAACTCGAGTGCTCCTCGCAGCGAATACCTCGCGCAGTAGTTCTGGGGTTATTTGAGCTAAACTGCGATTGGCTTAGAATTCCTACGTCACAGAAATCGTTTTCTGGCTCGGGTTCGCAGACGTTATTTTTCGGCGGAATCAAATGACAGCCGGAAATACGTCTGCGTTCGCAGGCTATCAGGCGGAAGACTGTAACGATACGTAAGTTATTTCTTCCAATTCTTCAACACTTTTTTCAGAAACAACTCGATGTAGTAATGATTTTTGAACAGTGAGCTAGACCCTGAAGCCTAAAGCCTAAGTCAGAAGTGACCCGTATCTGTATTTTACGAAACGAGCGCTGAGTACGTGACTGACATTTGCGTGACTACCTTACTTCTTTCGTTACCAAGGCGAAAAAGGCGAACGATGTTGCATTTCATTGCATTGCCTTGTGAAGAAAAAGAATCTTGTTCGTTCCGCAGCAGAAACAATAAGGTAACGATCGATATTACAGGTTTAGTTGTCTTCCGTCAATAAAACTGAAAAGAAGAAGTCTTATCGCACAGAGGAATCTGACTGTTTTGATGCTTTCGTTTCGTTTCGGTTCGTTTCGCAATATACAGTAAGCCCGTTACGACCCCGAGGTTGTCCTTTATAACGAAAGTCGTCTGTATTAAATTATCACCGGTTTTTATTGATTACGTGGATAATGATGACTTTGGTGTCGAAATTTTCACCTTTTTCGTGTCTAAACTCAATAACCGATTAAGTGCAGAAACAAAGCAATGGTCAGACTACGATGGCGTTACACTTTCATGTGCATAATTATATACCTCTGCATGAATATTTGTCTCGCGATTACTTACGTCACGACATTGTTGTCTAACAATGGCGTCGCTCGAAACAGTTTCGGCGACTGGAGAGGTTTCGTCGCATTTTGACGAACTTCTTAGAGACATTTCAAGTGAACTAAGCCCCGAAGAACTTGAACACGCCGTATCATTAATCAAAAGCAATTTTAAAGGCATATTTGAGAATCAAGAAAAGCAAGATTTGTATTCATGTCTGTGTTTATTCGCAAATCAAGGTCTCGTGTCGGGGGACAATCTAACTTTGTTGAAGTTTCTTACTTCAAAAACATCCAAGAATGAGAGAATCCAAGAAAAGATTCAAGGTTTCAAAGCAATCCGCCAGCGAGAAAAAGAGAAAAAAGACGAACTGACTGGAAGATTTAACGACTTGAAGCAAGTTATGGCAAAGCTAACGACAGGAAGTTCGAGTGTTGTCAATTTGTACGGATCGAGTGGCGTGGGCAAGACAACCCTTGCCAAAGAAACCTTATCTAAGTGGCCAGGGAGGAAATTTAAAGTCGACTTGAGAGGAATAAATGAGATGAAAAGCGTTCACTTCCACGTCCTGAACGCATTAACGATATCGGAGCAAACAGTGTTAATCTTCGAAGCAAATCCAGTCATTGCTCGAATGGAACAACTGAAACGAGACAGCCAAAGCGACATCTTGTTACTTCTGGACAATGTTGATCAATTTGCAGGAGAAGATGGAGAGGCTGCCTCGGACCTGAACGCCAAATTTGTTACGTTTCTTCGGAGTCTTCTTGGTTCCAAGGCTGATGGAGAACACTCGAAAGTGAAGATTTTGTTGACTTCGAGAATAACACTTCGTCACGGCGACACCCTGGATGTCGATAACTTCGAGGTAAAGGCTTTGGACAACACGGTCTCAAGTTCACTACTTCAAACGCTTGGAAATCTTAGCGTCGAAAAAGATCAAAGAGAGAAGCTTGTAGAAATGTGCCGAGGGAATCCTCTTATCCTGAACGGAGTTGCCGCTATCTTAAGGCAGGAAATCGCTGATGATAAAGCGCTTCTCGAGACCATAGACCAAGACCTAGTGACCGAGCCTTCGGAAACGGGATTACCATCTACAGAGGATTCACAGGTTACGCAGAAGAAGAAGGTAGAGATTGACAAAGATCAAGAAAACTTCTTGAAAACAATCTTTTTCTTCCTGCCGAGTGAAAGGCTACAAGAGAGTGCCGTTTCTCTGTCGTTATTCTGTCGCTCTTTCTCCGTTGAAGCAGCTGCTACCATTCTCGGGTTGGACTCTTCGGAGGCTGTTATACAGCTGGAGGGTTTGCGAAACAGCAAAATCATATCGGTTGATCCAGAGGCGAAGGTCCTTTCCTACGACATTCACCCACTGATGAGAGAAGTTTTACGAAGCATCGGTGACAGCAACGTTTTCATCAAAGTTTACCAGAAAGCAAAGGACCGGTTTTGTAGCCTTTTCATGTTCCACATAAAGCAGATCTCAGCTATTTTGGACGAAAACTACATCGACGCCTTCAACAGGTTTGACCTTGACAAACCTAACTTTGAGCTTGCCTTGAATATCTCACTGAAGTCAGACCACCTCCTCATTCCAGAAGAACATCATGGAAGTGTTATGATTTCTTATCTTTTTGAGGCCATGCTTGATGAAAAACAGAGAAGAAGCATTTTCAACTCTTGGGCTGAAAAGGCGGAGAATGACGGAAAGAAGGGTGAGCGGCAAAATGCTACGATTTATTACCTGATCGAAGGTCTTTATTTTCTGGCTTATTAATTATATATTTGTAATTCTTGGAACACAAAAGGTGAGAAGCAATCAACTGAAGACTATGGAATTGACAGACAAAACAAACAAGCAAACATAGAAAGAAATAAATAGTTCTGGGTCGAAGGGTGCGAGAATCAATAGAGTATTCGTTCATTTGGTCGTTTGTTTGTTTTGTGTTGCTTTGTTTGTTTCATAGATTAATTTGGTTGTTGATTTATTGTTAATAAATTTTCATTTATGGATTGATTGGCCAATTGATTAAAGTTGGTCAATTGATATTAGCGTTTTTTTTTTTTTCAGCAGCGGTCTACACCTACATTTATTTTATTGTTAAGAATATGCACTTTTGAGTATGTACCTTGATATTTATATTGGTTATCCCTAAATGCGAGAGTTCTTCCAAAGTTTAAATGTACACCAACCCTGGTCTGTTACATATGGGTAAGCAACTGACTGTGACAATTTTTTTTTTTCTATGAAAATGTAGCTAATCAGTTGCTGCTGATGTTCTTTACTCTAGGCTCTTTACTTCGAGCAGAATTAAAATGCCGAGAAGCTTTGCAGGTCCTAGAGCTGGAAGGATGGCAAAGAGCTTTGGAAGTCCTTAAGATTGCAAATGAGTCGCTGAAAATAGTTCGGAAAGAAAACGAACGCAGTGAATTCTTCAAGCTTACGCGGAGCTCTTACCTCTTTGTCAAGGGTGAAGTATATTACAGAGCAGGGAATATGGCAAAGGCACTAAGGATGTTGCATCGATCTCTGAAGATAATGAAGGATATCCTACACAGTCACACCAGCACCACCAGATGCCTAAACGCCATCGGCAATTGCCACAACAAGTTGGACCAACTAGATGAGGCGATAAAGTACTATACCAGTGCTTATGAAATGAGGAAGGCGCTCTCTGGTTCAATGAATCACTTTGACGTGCCAGTTTTCAAAGGTCAAATCGGTACAGTCTATGAAGGAAAAGGTCGAATCTATCGAAAAGAGCGACAGTACGACGAAGCAAGCAAGCAATTTCACAAGGCCATCGAATGCTATCAAGAGGCCTTAGAGCTCGCTAAGGAACTTAAAATCCCAGGAATGTTAAACACAGCATTATTTAACAGAAACATTGCCAACACGTACGCGTGGCTAAGAGAGTTCGAGGAAGCCTACCAACCTGCAAAGAACGCGTACGAGATTAGGAAAGGCATTCTTGGAAATCATCCTTACACTGTTCGAAGTGCTTTCCAAATGGCGGACATTTGTCGAAGTTTAGAGTACTGTGATGAAGCGAAAGAGTTCTACGAAGAAGCCTGGGAAATTGAAAAATCTCTGGGACAAGGAAACCACAGTGAAGTGATGGTCAAAATCATCGAAGGTTACGAAACGTTGCTTACAGGCTCGAGGAAGGAAGAATTTCAAAAGGAAACGTTTGAGTTTTATCAACGTTACTGGAACGAAGAAAGAGAATTCGAAGGATTTGAATTTTCTTTGGCCAACAGGACAGTCATTGATTCAATTAACGAACGGCTTGGTGACTTGGCTGATGGGCAGACGCAGAAAAAATACCAACGAGAAGCTCTTTGGTTCTACGAGGGGGCATGGAATTCTCCAGACACCAAAAAGCTACCGGATCGTCACAGAGATGATATTTTGCAAAACCTTTTGCTATTTTGTAAAATACTTTTTGAGAAGGATTTGCTCATAAAGTACGAAGCCGATGCATTAAGATTTTACGAAATGCTGTGGAAAAAGAACAAGGCCAAGATAGACAAGCAAGACAGAATAGAAATTCTCGTAAAACTTCAAAACTTCGCGTCATCACTTAAGGACGAGAAGAAGACGAAGAAGTACAGGATTTTGTTAAAGGTACGAAACAAATGATGTACTGCGTTTGTTAAACTAGCATTAAAGGCGTGCTATTAAATCCAGTATAAATGAGCATGTAAGATAGTGTAATGATGCCCCCTCCGGACCTGAGGAAGGTAATCTTTTCGTCGCTTAGGAAAAGAATTATTGTTATTTTTTACGCGCAATCATGTTCATTAGCACGAGATCAGTATCAAGCGATCATTTTCCTCCTCAATGAAATATCATGTAGTTAGCGGAGAATAATTAATCCGTGTATGCGTCTTACACGTTCTGTAGAACACATTGAATTGGAATGAACCGTTCAATTTTTTTTTAGATCTGTCAATAAGACGATGAAAATAAATGTCAAACTGTATGATTAAGAACGAAGTGTGGCCCGATGATTAGGGCGGTGGACTTCACACAAGATCCGGTCGTCCCATCTTCCAATCTGTGCTAACAGCTAGCTTGAGCTGTTTGGGATGTTTGGATTTCTCTTTAAGTCTATTCGAAATCAATATAAAGATGCTAACGCGCGATTTCTTTTGTCTTACGTACGCTAGAAAGATGTTTCTACCCATAGTCAATTTTGATCTTTGGGACATCACAAGGCTCAAACAGACACACGTCATATTTGAGATATTTATTTTTCCACTGCGTCTTTGTCTCTGCCATTTACCAGCAGGAAACCAGAGGGAGTTCTTTCCTCGTGGGATTCTTACAAACTTATCTCTCAACTGGATCAGCAGGTATTTTATAGCAACAATCGTGAAAACTATGTATTTGTAGCGGTATAGATTGAAAGATAGATAGATAGATAGACAGACAGACAGACAGACAAACAGACAGACAGACAGACAGACAGACAGATCTAGACAGAGAGACAGAGATAGGAAGATGCTTAGACAGATAGATAAATAGATTTAGATAGAAGTTCCTCTTTTTGTTTTCATTTTTTCGTCGCGCAAGGAACAAGCAACTTGAGATCTTTATGGACTTACGCAGAGTTACAGCAATCTTTCTTCTGAAATGATCCACTCATGTTCACGTTAAGTTCTAGCGAGGCGGAATCACTCCCAATAGGTAGTGGTNCACTCACTCACTCACTCACTCATCCATTGACCCGTCCATAACATACCCGACGCGCCGACTAAGAGGTATTTTTTTTACAAAAAAATAACTCAAAAAAAAATAACTCAAAAAATAACTCAAAAATCATCACTGCATCTAACTCTATTTTCCCAAAGTCTTAAAGAATCGGAAGAAATAAGTTACATATCTTCACAGTCTTCGAAGAGCTCGTCTCACAATATACAGATTTTCGAATTTACAAATTCTACACTTCCGGTCCGTTGTTTTATTCCTTGTTTAGGTTATCGCACAGAGGAATCTGACTGTTCTGATATTTGATATGTTCATTTCAGTACAGGTTCATCCCTTTCGTTTTGTTTCGTTTCGCGAAATACAGTAAGCCCAAACACAAGCCATTTGCAGAATAGCCCTTTACGCTGTGTGATAATCATCTCCATTCATCGCTGTACCAGTGAATTGGAATAGCTTGTCTTGTGTCATAAGACTTTGCACAAGGCCTCCTAACACATGGAACGGGTCTGTGTTTGCATAACACCTGAGCCCTTAGAAATCAACCGGAAATCAACCGGAAATCAAAGACATTGCAACGATCAGTTCATCCCTAGTCATCTCCTCTCTGGCCACAATGCCAAAAGAAGAAATGATGAACCACGCATTTTCATCCACCTCAACCATGGTTTACAAGTAAGTTCTGGGCGATTGGACCACTCAAGGAGCAACGATTTTAAATTTCTACTTCTGGACGTTCGCTATCGTTTCAAGCGTGAATTGGCCGAACGTAACCTTAAACTTTCGCTTCCAATTTCCAAGGCAACAAAACATGGACAGACCACCTTGGCTCTACCTCATTCCATGTTTTTCATGGATCTTACTACGTGCATGGATATTCACTGCAATCCTGGTCCTGATTTCGAAAATCNCAATCTGAATACCATGAATGTCAATATTCCAACCCATAAAAGTGATAATGTCTTGGATCTTATTATTACCAGGTTAGATGAAACAACGACATCAAATTTCTCAATCGATGACCCTGCTATCTCTGATCACTTTGCTGTCCATTGTAACTTGGCTGTTTCAAGGCCACCTAACACGAAACAAGTCCTAAAGTCACGAAAGCTGTGCAATGTCAATTTACATAAGCTACGACAAGATATAAACTCATCTACTTTAGTCAAATCACCTTTGTCAGATATTACGGAGCTTTGCGATCAGTATGATGCTGTTTTATCCTCTATTTTGGATGAACATGCACCTCTGCGCACAAGGATTATCACCCTAAGACCTCATGCTCCTTGGTATAATAATGAGATTAGGAGGCAGAAAACCATTTGTTGTAAACGTGAACGTTAAGAATCCAGGAGCTCTGTTTGTAGTACTGTCAAGAGCAAAATCGGTAGGTGTAGAAGGCATGGATCCTGATTTTGCCTTTCAGGAAAATGTCCTGCTCAATGATGATAGATTGAGGGCTGTGAACACTCCCAATACCCGAGCTAGAGTGGTGGAATGGAAAGGCTATGTGTCTTAGCCACTCTTTCTCAGTGGGCACAGTTTCAAAGCCATTGAGGTATTTATCAACTAATCCTCTGCATTTTAGGGTATGACGACATTGTATTATCTGTGAGCATATCGCTACTTCAGTAATAATAATAACAATAATTTAACAACTTGTAGAGGGCTATTTACATTTACTGATCAACACTACTTTGTACAGCGCCTAAAGCAGGCATGGATAGGCACTATATAAATATTTATTTATTTATTATTATTATTACTTTACAACTCAAAATACTACAATAAAATTCAAATTTAAAGCTGATAGCATAATTGTTAGTAGGCTTCTATCTTGTAACAAGCTTGTGTGGCTGTGGGATTGTGACTGGCCATGCAAAGTAATTAGTAAGAAAGCTATGCAGTGCTAATTAACTTGTGTACATGCAGTTTATGGTCTTTGTGGCCATGCATGGCAATTAGACTGGCATCTCCAGTTGTTACTGTAAACAGCGCAAGCAATGTTTGTGTTTTACCCATGATGCATTAGCCTTGTGGTAACTGGGACTAATGGCTCTGAAATGTGGGTAATCATAAGTAGGTAATTAAGTAAGTCAAGTTTATTGTGTATATACACTTAGCTTTTGTGAAAAAACTCACCAGCTAGTTTGCAGGTATAACACAGAAAGTACAAATAAAAGAACTAAAATTGAGAAAATACCTTCAACAAGTAACTAAGAAGAAATAAGTTTAAAATTGAAGATTGAAATCTATTTATATAGGACTAGATATAACTTATTCGTAAAATGAAATTAAGCTCTACCCCGTTCACACCAAAGAGTTAAACATGTTTAACTAAACATGGTTAAAAAAATTACCCGTTCACACCGCGCACGCTCTCGAACTAAACATGTTTAAAACCTGTTTAATTAAACTACCTCTAAAAGGTAGTTTAAACCCTGTCTAACCAACATGGTGGGGGAAAGAGACGATAAAAAGCGAGGAAGGACATGGGAGAAAGAAGAGACAATAATTCTTTTGGAGAAGTGGGGGAAAGAGAATATTCAGCAACGTCTGAAAGAATGCACCTGAAAAAAGCCAATTTGGCAAGAAATGAGCACTTATCTAAACGCTTCTGGGTACAACAACAGGGATTGCGACTCATGCAAAACCCGAATCCACATGTTAATCTCGGCCTACAGAGGCTACAAAGATGCGCTGTCGAGGTCCGGCAACGCAACTCCTAAAAAGAAG